TGACTGCGTTTATGCTTATGTTTCTTGTATCAGTTATGACATCTCAAGTTATAATAATCAATGAAAAGCATTTCTTTGGAAATACTTTTATGGAAAAAATTCCACATTTACAAAGAATACTCTGTTTTAAATAAGCATAAAGAAAAGGTCTTTTCAGGCCATGAAAATGGGTATGTCACATCTCTTCTCTATTATTTTTTGTTATGTTCCCTTCTCTACTCTAGCTCTTCTCTGTTCCATCTTTTCTCTAGTGCAATAGCATTCTTTTCCCATCTAGACCCAACAGTCACATTTCATACCATACTCTAAGGGTAACAACAACCCACTATCATTATCGGATACTATCATCTGGTCTTACTTCTCTCTCTTATGATCCCTCATGGATCCTTAATCTTTCTTCTTCTCTTGAATCCATCACAGATTCCTTACTCTTAATCCCTCTTGGATTATATCTATGTTCTTACAAATAACTCTCTTATATTGTTCCTCTCAAGGAACATTTCTCTGTTTCTTGTAACCATACATAATATGGATTCCCGCAAGAATCATCTATCTAGATATCATCATCTCTTTTCTCGCAGGGACATAATCTCATTCACGAAGGAATCATACTCTTTGTCCCAGAAGGAACCATGCTCTTATTCCCGAAGGAATCATACTCGTGTCCCCAAAGGAGCCTCTATCTCCTGTCCCCGAAGGAACCATCTTTCTCTACATCTCTATCTTTGTTATGTGACTCATCACATATCACTTGTCCCATGGAAACTTTATCTCTTTATCTCATCAAGAGATACTCTACTATTCATCTAGTACTTAATACATTAAGTGCTTAATCTCTATCTATGTCTAATATCATGTTGGTATTCCACATAATATCGTTGATGTCTAGACATACATACATACTCTTATGATTATATTGCATATAATCATCTTCTAACTCATTCTTCCATCTCTTAGGTATTTAGCAAATACCTTTCTTATCTAATCTTACATACTCTAGGTATACATACATGCTCTGATATATATATATATATATATATATATATAATATATATATATATATATATATATATATATATTATATATATATATATATATTATATAGAAGTAAATTCAAATAAAAACAGTAAATAGTGTGAGAACGTAAAAACACTATGTTTATGTTATTATTCTGTAATGAATTTTGTATATGTGTATTGTTGAAGTAATTCTAATATAAATATTAACTTTCGATTAGTCATATATTCATTACAATGTTATTATTCTATTATAAACTTATGTATGTGCATTTTTGTAGTAAATTCTAATTTTAATTTTAACCTTTGACTATTCATTAATTCTTTACTGAATAATGACATAAAGTTGTCGATACAAAATTCATTGCAGAATAATAACATAAAAAAGTGTTTTTACGTTCTCACACTATTTGCTGTTTTTATTTGAACCGTGTATATATATATATATATATATATATATATATATATATATATATATATATATATATATATATATATCTTACGTATACCTCATGCATACTCTTAATATACGTACATGCTCTGTTACATGTTCTTACACGTATATTCTTATTACATCTTCATCTCATTATTTGGGGACATTCAGTTAAATGTCCCAAGATTCAACATATATATATATATATATATATATATATATATAATATATATATATATAGGGTTAGGTTCATGTGAGACGGCCTAATTTTGTGAGACCGTGAGACGCAATCCTAGTCATTCATTTGGTAGATAAAACAAAAAACATTTTTAAAATGCAAAATAATTGAAAATTTTTGAAATTTTTTTTTTCAAGTATTATTTTCGGAATTTATATTTTCCAAAAAAAAAAAAAAAAATACCAAAATAAATAAAAAATAACTAAATAAAAAATACTTTACTTACATATTATAGTAGAATAAATAGAATATTCTACATATCCGAGAAATCTAGTATAATATTCTAACATTCTAAAAATCACATTAGAATATTTCACGTATTTAGATTTGGTTTCACGGTCTCACAAAATTAGCATGGTCTCAAATGAACCTGAACATATATATATATATATATATATATATATATATAATATATATATATATATATATATATATATAATATATATATATATATATATATATATATATAGAGAGAGAGAGAGAGAAAGAGAGAGAGAGAGAGAGAGAGATAACTCACCTTATCAGTTAGTGAAGACTAACTGGCCCATTTTCCTTTACGTTGTCATTGATGCATTCTAGATCCATCTTATTTGCTCTTATGTCTAATCCTACACATACACAAGCATCTCGATACTTGTCTTAGCCTATTAAGAGCTTAATGACTCTTATAGTCAAAATGACCACTTAATGGATCACTAATCTAACATCTCATTTTCTTCTTCTAATCTCACCCAAACAATGAATTAAGCATCCAACACTACTTAATTCATAATAGTTTAAATCTAATGCATCAATTCACTAATCACTAGCTAGGGTTTCAAACACTAACTCTCATTGGATTGATTTCACCATGTGAATCACTTTCTAAGCTTGGTTAAAGCTTCTAGACACTATCAATGTCATAATTGATCTATATACTAATCAAACCAAGCAATCTAACCAATTCATCAAAACACCATCAAGCCCTAATTCGCTTAATTATGGAGAAGATGATTACCTCATACGCTATCCACCTTTAATCCAAACCACAAGAACCATTGATCGCTTCTTGATCCTTCTCCAACCTCAAAATCGCCAAAGCTTAGTTATGGAGGGTTTGGGGGTTCATTATGACGAGAATGAAGGCTTAACAACCTTTAAATATGTTGCGTAACCGCACCGTGATCATCTATTTACCACGTCGTGGTGGCCTGTTGACCTCGGTCAATGGCAGCCACTTGCTTGCCATGTCGTGGCGATCTTGCCATGTCATGGTGCTCTTTCTCCACTAGCATCCTACTTTGACCATCGCATCGTGGCACTCATATACCGCGCGCGGGGGCAAAGTACATTTCCTTTCTCTCTAACGAAGAAGAACTACATTTGCATCCCTTTCTCTGCTCATTGTGTCGTGGTAAGCTATAACAGGAGTTCATGGCGAATTTCATTCTAGCTTTGGAGACTTTTTCTTCCAATCTTCTAACCTTCATATCTTCTTCTTTTTTCTAACAGGTTTTCTATGATCTTTATATCCATGCGAAGGTAGAAACACACTTTACAACCTTGTTAAGCCATTTCTCACCGACTTAATATGGGTCTTAATGTATATGTCACAAACTTGGCCGAAAAAAGCATAAATTTCTCATTTTACTCTTTTGACCAGAAATGCATATTCTCATGCATTCTTTCTCTTGAACTTACTTATCTAATCTCATCTTAGTGACGTAAACTCTTCTTCGCCATTTCCATGCAGTCACGACTTCATATTCTCGTTTTTTTCTCATAAATGACCATTTTGCCTCCTTTTGGTCAATATTTGACTAAAAGTAAACTTTCTGTACATTTTGGGTTCTTACAATAATTCCAATAATACAATTACTTAGATCTATTGGGTTCTTACAATAATTCCAATAATACAATTACTTAGATCTATGGCTCCCAAAGTTTCAAAGGAATGTCCCATGTCTACTTATTTGGGAAGAACTCGAAGTAAAACTCAAATATTGATGCTTAAAGTTTTAGATGAATGAAAATCACGTAGAAAAAGTGTTCATCAAAAAGGTTTAAGAGAAAATATCTTATGGCTTGGGTTATTCATCATCTATATGTTTTATTTAATCAGAGATATAACATGAATTGATCTTTCTTGAAATATATATATATATATATATATATATATATATATATATATATTTAATCAGGGATATAACAAGCATTAGTCTTTCTTGAAATGGAACAAACCTAGAATAGAAAAGGCATAGAAAATTATTTACACTACTACTCATTCAGATGAAGGGGAACAAGACCGGCACTTGCAGGTTTGGTTCATGGTGCAACTCCAACCAAAGAAAAGAAAAAGAAGTGTTGATGGTCGATAGAGGGTGACCGAAGTGTTGGTTATTAGAGATGAAGCGGGGATGAAATATGGACACTGATAAAGACCATGGGGTGGATTGGGGTGGGGTGGGGTTGTTTTTGAATCTAATATTATTAAGGATTGTAAAAGAATAAGAAATATATAAAAGGCAAAATAGTTTTTTTATATGGACACGGGGACGAAGACTCTAATTTGTTAAAACCATATATATGAAACATATGAATTTTTGAACTTAAGGACCAAAACTGCAAATTTGACTGAACCAAAAAGACCAAAACTGTAATTTACTATAAAAATATATATATAACGGTTTTAAAACTTGTATATATTTGAATGCCCTTTAAACAAACTTAGAAACGTTTGATTTGTATTCTCTCCTTAAATTACTTCTCTTTATTTTACCTACTTGACCTAACAGAAATAACATTTAAAAAAAACGTAACTTTAGCTAAATGAACGGGTCTTCCAACTATTTTTTAAAACTTTTAGTTTTTTATCAAAAAGTTCAAAATTAATAAAAAGTTTCATTCGGTAGTAGGAACTTTTTTGCTTTTCGTTTTTATATAATTTTTACACATTTAAAAACTACTAACTAACTTTATAGCTAATTTTATGAATAATTTTGTACAAAAAACAGCTTTTAGCTTCAACCTACCAGCTACTACCTACTACCTTACCAGCTAGGTTTGTCAAGGACGACCTAAAGATCTATATAGGATAATTAGTTTACAAAGCAGATAGATAAATTTTCTAGAGATATTTTTGATGATGAATATAAAGAGAGCATTAATGTATTTATGTATTTTGCATAGACCAAAAACTATCCCACCTTGTACACGCACTCAAAAATCAATTAAAACAGAGGAATTCATAAAGATTCCTCACGAAATTTAAGTCTACAAAAATATACGAATCAAATATACAAAAATCAATTAAAACAGAGGAATTCAAACAAAATTCTTATTTGAATATAGCGTTAGAGAACATTTGGTGGAAGCACACTAGAACTATACATATAATGTGACTTAGATTACAAGATTATGTTGAATCAAGCATAATATTGTAGAAATGAAGATTAACTCTTTCAAATTTAATCAAGATAACTCAGTTTCGTTCAACCCACCAAAGAAATGAACTACCTACCTGACACCTCAGCTTCTCGTTTGGGCCTGTTGCGAGTTCGTGGTCGAGGAAGCTCTTCATCAGTTTGAATCACAACTTCTTCATCTTCATCCTGAGCTTCTAATATCGATTCATTAACTGCTAGCTGTTTCAATTTACAACAAAAATCAATGCGACTAATTCAGAATCTTTTCAATCGAATTATCACTTTCATACGAAATTGGAAAATTAGCAACAAATTTAGGGGTTTGAGGGGTTTTGCTATAACACTTTCACATGAAAATTGGACAATTAGAACAGAGATAGTAGACTTATGTGACAAGAAACCCATCATGAAACTTTATTCGAACAGTTGGTGTGCATCCTGTGAAATGAATCAAATTTTTGAAAAGTTTGGGGGTTCTTACATCTTCAATGAATTCTCTGTCGAGTTTATCGGAGATGTTGATGGCAGTGAAGATTGTTACAGCGAGAAGAGAGAGTGGAAAGACGAAGGCGAAGATGTAAGTGCTGGTTCCTGGGGGTCCGCCTTTTGTCACTACCAATGAACCTCTGTTTCTGCGGCAACTGCCGCCGCCGCCCAATTGGTGTTGATAGCTTGGGAAAAGAGGGGATATCTGTGACGGAGACTGAAGGCGGAGGACGGAGGAGGAGATTGAGTTGGGGGTAACTGTGAAACTCGCCATGACCATTATCCAACCCCCAGTAGCTGAATCTGGGTGGTCAGTTTATCGATTACGAGAAGTTTCTGTTATATACATATTGCACCTTCAAAAATGCAAAATTCAAAAGTTGTGGACATTCTTAATAAATTTGTTATTTATTGTTTTTAAAATATAATCAACTTACAATATTTATTATAAATATGTTCAATTATATAACCTTAGAGTTTGTAAAAACCCATAAATAATAAAAAATATTAACTAAACTAAAAACTATGAACGTGATATTTAACAAAAATAATCTATTCTTTCTAAATTTTGCAAAAAAAAAAAGAATGAATTTCGGATTTCGAAATACCATTTCGGACTAAATATCATTTAATGTTTTGTTCAATTTTATTATTGTAAATCCAATTTTACGTAGTAAATTTTTTATTATTTACGTTTATCTAATCATTCAGCCATCTATGATTATAATTAATTAAATTAATAAACTAACTATGGCTACCATTTTACCCCTTCAACAACCATAAGTTTTTAGGATTTCTCTCATGCCACTCAAATTAATTAGATTTTTTATATTAAATTTATTAGTCCACATACCATTCAAATTCATTTCCACTTACCACCATATTCACAATCTTTTAAACGATATTATATCATAACATAATTTAAGCAAAAACCATTAAATAATTCTCTATAAATGTCTTATGCTCATTCGAAATTCATTCTCATCTCTAGCCTTTTGTTAACCTCCACCAACGAGCTAAGGGCTAGTGGTATCTCTATATCTATGTGGAAGATGGTAGATGCCAAAGAAATAGAGTATGAAGAAGTGAAAGGTTAATCTTAGCTTCAAACAACAAGATGAGGACAAGCTAGGATCCATTGAAGACAATCAAAAGTAGATAGTTGACACGAATAAATAAATTGAAGTTGATGAGAGTTAGGATAAAAAGACCTAACATAGCGTTGACATTATAGAGTATGCATTTTGGAATATTTGTGAGTAATTGGCCCGAGTGAAAGCATGGGTTGACAAAGAGAAAGAAAATTTTCATACAACTACGAATTTTAGTTCATAAAAAAAAAGATAAATGATAGACCATATCGTCTTACCTTTAGCGGCTTTCTATAGGGTAAGGAAACTAAAAAAGAGATGATTATGGGAATTATAGCACAAGTTATAGAAACAATAAGTGAGATTTTGTCAAGCTTTCCAATAAACGAAGTTTATCGTATTTTTGAGGCGATTTTCATCATAATATGAACACATGTTGGTAGATCTTTTGAGAGAAGCATATAAGATGATGCCAATTAGTGACCGGTTCCTTAGTACACATGTTAAGCCAAACCTCTCGCATGGAAAAACACACAATAGTATAGTAGCCATCACCAATTGTGCTTAAAAAGTATGACTTGATCTGTATTTGATATTCAAATTTCATTTTCTAAACTATAAATTGTAACAAATCAATATTTTACTTTATTAAAGTTACTTTATGATTTAGCAAAACAAATTAAAGTCAAACTACTTGGATTCAGTCGGGTTGATCTGAGAACTTCTGCGCAAGGCTTCTCAATATTACTCTGGCTCTGTAATCTTTCTGATTAAAACAAGTGAAATACAACACATTCTTGGATTTACGTCTAGATTTACATTAAAATCAAGCCTAAAAACCAACTTAATACAAACCCATAAAAGTTACACCAAGATTAACCAAGAAAGATATAATAGGTATTAATCAAAGTAACTCTACTCAACACATTAAATACATCTATCTATACAGAACTCATATCGAGAGCAACATGTAACACAACTTCATCTCTTAACAATCACCAACATGCTATATCAGTCCAGTCCAATGCATGTCAAACACAGTACAAGAACAGCACAGCAGACATACATAGAGCATTATCTGGCCTCGACTACGAGGTCGTTTTGAGGTGTTTCGACGGTGGGGCCGGGCGGAGAAAGTGGCGGCACCGCCGCTTCATGAAATTCTGCGGCGTCCAACATTTTTCTGACGGTTGCTTGGGAATGATGCTCTGTGACTCGGCCTATCTTTCTTGGAGGCTGAGAGTGGGCCCCACTGTCCCTCGAAGAGTTGCTACTTTCAATTGAAGCTAAGAATTTGTCTCTTGAGAGAGTTGTGGGAGCTTTAGCAATTATAGAAGTAAACACACCCGACTCCTTTAAACCCTCGATAATAACCTGTGTTAGAAGAACACACAATAAGAGTGTTAACAACTTATTTCAAGTGGGCCCCACTTGGATGTTGTAATAAGATTCTTACTGATGGAGCATATATGCGAGTTAAAATGCCTTTTCGTAATAGTTTCAAGTTTATTGTTTTATCAGTCCACACCACGTGTTCACGATACCTGTAAGAGGAATTGAAAGAAATAGCAATTTACTTTTATTATTTTGTTTGATAAAAAAGAGTAAATTACTGAAATCGTCCCTATGGTTTGGTCAAAATTGCACGTTTGGTCCCTAACTTTTTTTTTTTGCACTCAGATCGACCCTGTTGTTTGATTTTGTTGTGTTTTTCGTCCCTTGCATATATAAAGTTAGGGACCAAACGTGCAATTTGGACCAAACCATAGGAACGAAAAACGCAACAAAGTCAAACCACAGGGACGATCCGAGTGCAAAAAAATAGTTAGGGACCAAACGCGCAATTTTAACCAAACCATAGGGACGATTTCAGTAATTTAATCAATAAAAAAAAAAAGTTAGACCCTTTTTATAGTTTACCAGTTGAGTTTTTCTTCTTCTGTAGCAGTTGAAGCAACTATGAATGCCTGAAACAAACCCAATAATAAATCAATAGATAATAGGGTTAATCTCATAAAAGACCTTATATTTTGTGTTTTTTCTGGATTAAACCTCAAATTTATTTTTTGCCTAAAAAAGACATTGTATTTTTTCATTTTTTCCGAAAAAACCATCAACTTTGTCTTTTTTTTTCCGAAAAAAACCCTCAACCTTCTAATTGCTTCCAAATAAACCCTCACTTTTTGTAGTTTTTCTCGAAAAAACCCTCATATTTTACAATTTTATTTGGGTTTTATGCAGTAACTCCAAGTCCTAAATTTTTTTTAACAAAAAAATCCTGATTATTTAACATTTTGCCCAAATAAACAAAAAACTTCATTTTTTTTATTTTAACAGGAAATGACAGATTATGTGATTTTCCTAAAATAATGGGACTTTACTGTTCAAAAAAAACATTTAGGACTTTATAAAAAAAATAATAGGACTTTTCTGCATAAAACCCTTTTTTTTGGAAAAAAATTGACTAAAAAGGGCCATATCGAAAAAAAAATAAAAAAATACAAGGTCTTTTTCAGGTAAAAAAATAAATTTGAGGTTTAATCCGGAAAAAACACAAAATATAAGGTCTTTTATGAAATTAACCCTAGATAATACTTATATCATCCTACTTCCATTTTCTCCTATTACAACATCCTACTTTGAAAATTCTAGACAATTATATCAACATATTACAAACAGAAAACAATTTTTAATGCTATAATTGGATTGATTATTCAAAGCATAATGTCCTAATAACAAAAGGACAATAATAGTGTAATAAATAAATGATTAAATGAACTTACAGCTCTATCGAATTCCAACATAAAGCATCTTTTGACATCATCTTTAGTAGGCTTACAACCACATCTATCTCTTCTTGAAGTCAAATCAGAGAATTTGGCATACGTGTAGTGTAGAACAGCAGCCTCTTCAAGTTTTATCTCCCTTTAAGTCATCACACATAGAAATTTAAAAACCATTTTAAAAAATTTAAGAGTAAATTACACGAATGGTCCCTATGGTTTGGGGTAATTTGCATGTTTGGTCCCTAACTTATTTTTTTAACTCAAAAGGTCCCTACTGTTTGTTTTTGTTACACGCTTGGTCCCTACTATTTGTTTTTGTTAAGCGCTTGGTCCCTATCTTACCTAAAAAGACTATTATTTAAGAGTAAATAACACGAATGGTCCCTATGGTTTGGGGTAATTTCCGTGTTTGGTCCCTTACTTTTTTAACTCGGAAGGTCCCTACTGTTTGTTTTTGTTACGCGCTTGGTCCCTGTCTTACCTAAAAAGACTATTATTTAAATAGGGAAAAATGGTGGGGTAGGTAAGGTAAGGTGAGAGGGTGGGGTTGGGGAAGTGTTTATTTAAATAAAGTAAAAAATCAATGGAAAAATAGTCTTTTTAGGTAAGACAGGGGCCAAACGCATAACAAAAACATAGTAGGGACCTTCCGAGTTAAAAAAATAAGTTAGGGAGCAAACATGAAAATTACCCTAAACCATAGGGACCATTCGTGTAATTTAATCTAAATATAATGAATTTATTGATACCGGAGGGTATTTACGTCTTTTGTGTAAAAGGGAAAGAGATAAGAAAGTACTTTGGAGTTTTCATGTAGTTATGCCATCTATGAGCACCATTAGGGCGTAGATGATCTTGAACACGAGCAACTGATTTCCCATTTCCATAAGTTAAAAAGTAATTTGGATTCCCTCGAGTTGATTCTTTATACATACTAAAATATGTATCTTTTGGAAGATGATCATAGTTCCTTTTAAACATTGATATCTAATCAAATAAAACAATATATATGTTACACAAGGATTCACTCAAGTCCAATCTTTGAAAGTATAAATGATAAACAAGGGCAAATTTGTAAAAAGTTAGGAAAGAAATAAATATGTAACCTCTATAAAAGGATCCTTAATGTCATCACGCTCTACACTACTTTCCTGTAGAGAAAACGTATTATTTTGAGTCTTAATATGATAATTCACAATGTCAGATATTAATGTACAAGAGAACAAAATATCAAACTATTATATTTGGAAATGCAAATTGGAATCTAAAATTGGCCAAAAAAACAGCTTAATCGAGAAAGTCGGGAAAAGATGTTTTCCCCATTAAGTGGTAACTATTTAGAAATTGGTTAGATGAGAGAAATAGCAATGTACTTTCATTTACTTGTTTATTATAGCATCCTACTTTCATTTCATTTATATAATCTACCCAATTATAATAATATCATCCAAATATAAATTAATCTCCACTAATATAACTGGATACCTTTTTCAAAAATACAATATCCTGATAAGAAAAAACTAACTAAAAGTGCAATGCTCTAATTTTCCAATTAATAAGAAAAAACTGAAAATGCATTGTTGTAATAGAAAGAAATGAAAGTGGGATGCTATAATATATGTTCCTTCAATAATGGAATTTGAAAGATTCCAAATTTCCAATGGAATGGAATCTTGAATTCCAATTCCATTGTTAAACTTACATAGTTTGGAAAGACAACCATATCCACATCCCGTGGAATATCACGAAGCAACTTCCTTAAAGAATATTCCCCAGCGCCAGCTGGATGCATCAATTCATCTGTGTCAAGATGAAGTATCCAATCCATGCCTGCATTCTACCAATTTCACAAACAAATGTGTCACTAAATAACAAATGGAAACATAAAAGAATGACTTTTGAATTGAGTTTTTATGCTAAAGAAAATAATACGCACCCTTGCCATGACAATAGCCATCTCCATGTTGAGTGATTGCTTCACAAATAACTCATAATTACACGGTTTGTAAAAGAAACTTGATAACCATGTCTCATTCCAGATACGACTTTTGATGCAAAAGGAAAACAGAAAATTTGAATATTAAATAAACAGATAAGAACAAGGGATAAATGCAAGAAATAGCAATGTGCAATTATTTATTTCGTTTATAAAAGAATGACAATGTTGTAATAGGATAGGAAGAAATGAAAGAAACTATTATAAGCAAATAAATGAAAGTATGCAGCTACATCTTGCATTAAAGCCTAAAAGCAATTGATAACTCATCAAGCTCTTTGAAACAATTGGGTAACTTCAGGAATCATGAATATATGACACACCAACCTGTTAGCTTGTTTCTCTTCTAAGTCTTTTGTTCTGTATATGACTTTGACTCCCTAAACAAACACAAGCTTCATTTCACATTTCAGATCAACAGAAGTATATTTTAAATCCAGTAAAAGATTTTGCTAGAAAAGAAAGCTCAGAATTAAAACTTACAGGAATAGATTCAAGAACTTTTGATACACTGGGAGAGGCAGCTTTTCCTTCAACAAACAGAAAGAAAGTTCCAACTCCAAGTACTTTATGATAGAACATCCATGGCAAAATCTGCTCTAAGCCAGCAGATGTACTAGTTGTGATACATATCTGAACACAGAGAACATAATATTAGAGCAATTCAGCTAATCATGCTGATGAGAAGAAGAATCATTTACTAGTGATGCAGAAAAGAAATCAAATACAAATACTTGAAGCTAGAAACAGGGGAATAAAGACGCCAAACACCACCATTGTTCTCATCTTTTCTACTTATTTTCAAGTTCTATCTATTTAGCATCTTCATTTCTGAAATCATAATGCCAGATCCATTAAGTTGAAAGGCACTCACTTCACTTACACTCAAATTTCAAAAGCTAAAGCACCTCTTCTACCAAAAAAGCAAAATCCAACACAAACATAGCAAAAAATTATACCTTAGGTTTAAGATCGGATTGAAATTGGAACTTCCAATCGTTGTAGTAAGGAAAAGACGGAGAAGACGATTGTCCCAGGGAGAGGCAATCGGAGGAGGAGTGGTGGTCGACGACGGTGGCGAGCGGGGATGAGTCCATGCCAGGGAATATATGGGAGTTATGTTGGGGCGACCAATTAGAGATGGGATCGTCGACGTCTACAACACCTCCGCCGCGCCATTGGAGAGCGAAAGCGAAAGCTGCGAGGGTGATTGGGAGGAGAGTAAGGAGGAGAATTAACTTGGAAGCGAAGGAATGGTGGTTGGAGGAGGGAGTTTGCGATGGTTTGGGACCTGCCATTGATTACTAACTCCCTCTCTGTATGAAAGAGAGAGTAGATCAGCTGGTGAAAATGGAAACCCCCTGTTTGGTGTGAAGACTCATTTCCACAAAGATCACACTTCTCTTGTTGAATCAGAAACCGACTAAAAGGGGTAATTTATTTATTAAAAAATAAAAAATGGGTCGGATCTTTGTCGGATCTTTTAGCCCCATCTTAATCAAATAATCAACGTTTCAGTCTCGTTTAACGGTTTAAACTTTTAAGCACCGTTGTTTTTCTTTTGTAAATTAGGTCAAATTTAGGTGTGGCTATTCAATCACTACCGACGAACCTGAATTAATTAGAAAACATAAAATAAAAAACTAATGACAACCGTTGCAAACAATTGGACATATAAAAAGTACTAATCAAAATAATTATTAGATTTGCAAGTTCATGGTGTCAATGTGCAAGGAAACGGAGGATAATGACATGTATATGTTATGGTACGTTATGGTGGCTATGGAAAGCGAGATGTGAAAGACTCTTCAGGAAAATCAGGATCCCGCCTACGAAGGTGGTGGATAATATACAGTCCATGGTGTTCATATGGCTCAAGCATACGAGTATGAATTATTCTATTAAATGGACGGACCGGAGCATATATCCCTTCTGGTGAATGGAAGAAAACCAGCAAGAAAACCAGCAAATAATGAGGCTAGACAATTTGTTTTAACGTATGTTTTTCTTCTTCTCTTTCTGTTACATCTACCTTCTCTATTCTTTTTGACATGTTTACTATGTAATGTCTCATTTTCTCCTCTAGCATCTTGCTAGTTGGGTTTATATTATTAAATATATTTGTCGGTTCCAAAAAAAATTCAAAATAATTATTTTTTTATTCGTTTATATTTAAGTAATTTTCTTTTTTATATATATTTAGAAAACAAACTTATTGGAAGTGTTCGCATATAACCATTATTATCGGCTGTAGCAAATTACAGCTAGTCATATAAGAACACTATCTTGATATGTAATAAAAAAATTACTTAAATGTAAACAAAAATGAAAAGGTAATTACCCTAATAAGTTAATTTTTCTTTTTATTAAGGTGATCAATCATAATGTTTGTAATATTAATAGATTCAGTTAAATTTCCTTAAAACAATATTTATGACCATTTATGAGCATTTAAATTAGTCACGACATGTTTGGAGCCATTTTTGGTAGCATAATTATCAAATAGCTAGTGTGATGTGGATGGTAATTGCCATATTAATTGTCGAGTAGGTATATCAGCATGTATTCTCAGTTTTTACACGTGTACATAGTGTATTTTAATTTTTATTTAATATCTTAAACAATAAAATTCTATAAAATGACGATGTGTCTTTTTTCCTTGTCAAATCTTGAGTTTTTTTTTTACTAAAGTAGTGTATTTAAAAAAAATACATTTACCAAAATGATGTGGTTTTAAAAATATTTACTGTTTAGGTTAAATTTTATACCAAATCAAAATTAGAAGATAAAATAAAAAAGAAGGGAAATTGGAGATTAGTGTTCATAACCATAACAAACTGTAAAATTCGCATTTCAGGTATTTTCTCTTTTTGCCCTCAACTTAAAGTTCATGCATTTTGGTCCTTGGACGAGTACGTTGGGCATACACTAGGAGTACGTTGGGCGTACTAGGTCGATAGCTTAGTCGCGGAAGGTATCCACGTACGCTGGGCGTACGTGGAGTACGCAGGGCGTATGGCCGCCTAGGACAAATCCTAACTTTTAGGCTTTGAGCCATATTTAAACACCCTATGTTGCTCTTGGACTTTCTTATGACCAGCCTCCACCTCTCCAAACCCTAAGAAAGAAACCCTAATTGCCTTTTGAGTGTTTTGAGCTTGGAAGTGACATTTGAGAGTGTTTTTGGTGATCTTGAAGGAAGAAGAACTCTTAGAAGTTGCATTGGTGTGGTTGAAGCTTATGGATCGAGGATCATCACCAAATTAGAAAGCTTTTGGAGGTATAAAGCTCTTAACTTGATGGCTATTTATGATAGATCTAGTTTAGGGCATGTTTTTGGTCCCATGAGTCCTCCTTGTGAGTTTGAGCCACCCTAAGAGCTATGAATGCTAGATCTTAGCTTCTCTGATGTTCCATGTGCATAAAAATGCTAACTTGATATGTTATATTGGACCATGCATGAGCTGGGGCTCTTATTTTGGGTTTTAATAGTTAAAAATGAGTATTGGGGCCCATTAACTCATGCAAATCGATAAAGTTGCCAACTTTACATGTTAGGATCTTAAAATGATTTAGATCTGAGGTTTAGACGTTAAGGGATTAACGGATTAAGACCCTTGATTAGCCTTTGGGACTCTGGCCAATACGTCGGGCGTACTCCTTAGAACGTTGTGTGTACTGGATCAGCCACCCGTTCCTTGGTCAACATCGAGTACGCGGGGCGTATGCCATGCAATGGGCTTTTATTGGATTTGGGCCCTTTTTGGACTTGGACTCCATTTGAGTTATGAGCCTTAGATGGATTTTGGGTCTTATGTTTGTTGGGCCATAGTTGGACCTTAGGTTGTGAGTTGTGCCATTTTGTGGGCCTTGGGCCACTATAGGGTTATTAGGCCAAGCTAGTTGGGCCCAATAAGGAAAAGGTAAAACAGTCTTTTACCCTAGAGTGGGGGCCCCAGTTATGGTTTATAACCTAATTACTAATTAGGGTATTATTTGATGATATTTAGTGTGTAAATTTCCTGGATCAGCAGTCCGAGCATTTATCTGGTTGTTTCAACCGTTTGAGGTAAGTCTCCTCCCAGCGTTTAGCGGGTCGAAGGCACTAATGTTGACCCATGAATTCTAGCTGTATGTATGCTAGTTGTATGTGTGACTTTGCATGTGTTTATGTATTGTATGTATATCGGGCGTGGTCCGATGCCAGGTAGGGTCTGATAGGTGTGTTGGGTGGGGCCCATCATATGATACAGACAGATTTGTTCCGAGCGGGGCTCGAAGCAAGGTGGGGCCCGATGGTTGTTGGGCATGACCCATTATATGTTTGATATGTATGGTATGAGGTATTTTGGGGAACTCAGTAAGCTTCGTGCTTACGGTTTTCGGTTTATGTTTTAGGTACTTCTGAATCGAAGGAGAGGAGCTCGGGGTGATCGCATCGCACACCATCATTTCGCCTTATTTGAATTTGATGTATTGGGATGATTAATTGACGTATTTTGATTTTCCTTATAGTTTTATGAACATGTTTGGTTGATGGTTTTTACTATTATGAAAATGAAAATTTTGGTTTTAAATTTTGGGATGTTACATAAACTCAACAATATTACTATAAATATCATTGTACTTCTAAGTTACACTCAAGAACAAAATAAAATAGAACTGAAATATATTTATATGAGGGACTTGTTTGGTTAATTAATTAATTGTAAAAATAAAGAAATATGGAACAATCTAGAATGATTTGAATTTCGTTTAGGGTTTAGGGTTTCAAATCACCTCCCTATATATAGAGGGCTCCGAATCCAGTTTATATAGATGTGAAATATTCCTTTTAGTCACCAAAGTTCGAAATCCTCAAAAAGCTAAGAATTCCCAAAGTGTAGCTCCCATGTCATGGCAGCCTAATCACCACGTTGTGGTCCACTGCAGATCCGATTTCTTCGTTTCTGTTAACTGTTCTTGTTCGAGGATTGCTTGGCTATGGTAGAGTTTTGTTTCTTTGGTGTGATTATAGAAGATGAACTCTCCGTTGGGTTCTTTAGTCTAATTAATTGGCTCGTCAAAATAAGAAACCAACAAAGAAATCTAAGGTATGTTTCGATCTATCGTGTTCTACAAGTTGCATAGATTTGTTGAGTTAGATATGTTAGTTTCGAGTCATCAGATCAAAATTGTTGTTTCTGCTACTTTTGTTCTTGGTCTTTAACTAGGCTTGAAACCTATCACTGGTATCAGACCATGGTTAACTCAAGTCTATTGCACTTAGACTCCGTCTTGATAGTATGTTAGGATTTGTATGTGTTGGATTTCTTGTTTAAAACATTTTAAATTGTGTAGAAATTGTCATGATTAAAAACGAACTTTTTTATACTGGAAAAACAATGATTGATTAGTTATGCCTCTTTGCCACGTCATCGCTGGTCCTCCACCATGGCATGGTCTCGATCGATGTTGAACTTGGATCACAACTTCTTCGTTGTCACGTTGAGGTCTCCTCTTGACCACGTCTGTAACGTCGTGATTTTCACCATAATTTTTTTTTCTTTTTAAAACATTTATTTAACAGAATACGTTAGCGGAAGACTTAGTTTTTAATTCAAACATTTTCAAAACCACAACGTTACCTCAAAATTTCAAACATAATTCCAAACCATTTAAAATGTAAACAAAAGTACTTTATAGTAAATAATCAAAAACGTGTCCAAGAGTGGTATCGTTATTATAAATCTACTACCCATAAGAACCCCTCTCACCAAGGCCAATCTTCTAAACTACCTGCACCAATCAAAAGGCACAAACGAGAAAAGATACAAGTGTCAGCCCCTGCTGAGTGAGTTCATAAAGTTGCACATAAAACATACAAACCCTAAATGGGTCAATCATTCATTTTACGATGAGGCATAAAAAGTTAGACAAATACCACCTAGAAAACAGCCGCATATCATAACTATTCGATCACATATTCAACCGCATACATGCATATATGTTTAACCACAATTCTACCACATAACATATAAGATCAACCAAATACCACATAAGCAACCACATAGCATATAAATAATCACATTTCATATATAAGCAACCTTTAATTGTTCAACCTTTTATCAATAACCAACTTTTGTTATATATTCAACATTTTAATATGCAACCAACCTTTTGTTACATGTTCAACCTTTTATTAGTAACCAACCTTTTGTTACATATTCAACCTTTTATTAGTAACCAACCTTTTGTTACATATTCAACCTTTTATTAGTAACCAACCTTTTGTTACATATTCAACCTTTTATTAGTAACCAACCTTTTGTTACATATTCAACCTTTTATTATATCTATCCAACCGTTTGATAGAAAAGTGTCCCTTAGTGCTACCTAACCCAAGAGAAACACCCCGTTCACTACT